TCATTCTTTTTGTCTGACCTTCCTTCCAGTTTGGAATTTTTGCAGGTCACATCTTTTTAAGCTTGCCTTTTGTATTTCACATATAAAAATGAAGATAAAGGACTAATAAGTAATCTTGTAGGAACCCTGACTAAATAAGATATTCCACCACGAACTTGCTGTTAAAAACTATTAACTCTGTTTAATTTCCACCTGCATGGGATATTTACAGTCCTGTCACTGGCTTCAATGCGGTCTCCTTAAACCTTGTTATGTATATATACATTTTTTCTTTTTCTTTTACAGCAGCCTTGTAGTACGGCCTTGGAGTTTTGTTTTTCCCCAGTTGATTTCTGATTGCTGCATGGCCTTCTCCCTGCCTGCTTCATGAACCACATAGATGCTAATTGTTTGCATGTGGATTTCTTTTCAGACTCCAGACTGGAGGGTTGGTTGTCCATTCCTAATCGTGCTAATATCAAGCGATATGGATGGAAGAAACAGGTACTCTTGCTCTTCTTGAAATCTGACTCAACTTCCAACTTTTTGATTGTTAAGCGAAGGTTCCACTTACTGTGTTCTGGATAATTGCAGTATGTTGTGGTGAGCAGTAAGAAGATTCTGTTCTACAATGATGAGCAAGATAAAGAACAGTCTAACCCCTCCATGGTACTTGATATAGAGTGAGTACTCATTTGTTCCTATTATTTCAATTTTGCATGGTACTCCGTCTACACAAAAAAATAAACTGAAACTAGTCAATTATGTATTATATTGTCGGTTCTAATTTTTGTAATTTTTTTTTTCTTTCCTAGCAAACTGTTTCACGTGAGACCAGTCACTCAAGGAGATGTGTACCGAGCCGAAACAGAAGAGATTCCTCGGATATTCCAGGTTGGATACTTGCGACCAAGATGGCAGCCATAACGCTTCATCCTGCCACGTTTCCATGTGACTCAGATTTTTGTGTGTCTGTCTTTTCAGATTCTGTACGCCAACGAGGGAGAGTGCAGGAAGGAGGCGGACATGGAGCCGGTCCCGCAGGGCGAAAAGACCAACTGTCTCGCACACAAGGGTCATGAGTTCATCCCCACGCTATATCACTTCCCCTCCAACTGTGAGGCCTGCGCCAAGCCCCTGTGGCACGTGTTCAAGCCTCCTCCGGCTCTTGAGTGCCGCCGCTGCCATGTGAAGTGCCACAGGGACCACCTCGACAAAAAGGAGGACGTCATTGCTCCTTGCAAAGGTGAAGTCCTGCCTTTTGGACGCTGAGCTCAAAAAAGTCTAGAATTTGCTGAACATAACCCGACCTTTTAATTCCAATGCAGTTAAAACCCTGAGTAAAACACAATGTTTATACCAGAGGATGGTATTCGCTGTTATTTAAAAGTGGAACGCAACCTGCTATATCCATGGAAACAATATAAAATATCGGGTATCAATGTTACAATAACATTATAATATTTATTGTCACTTAAAAGTTTTATTCAAAGACTGAAGCAACTATAAAGAGTAAACACCTGCTGTAACCAGTGGTACAGGGTAACTTATTTCTCTTAAACAACATGTTGCTTCAACCTTCACATTGGAGAGCCAGTTTGCCTGGTTTGAGTGTTAATCTGCAGTCTTTTCTGTTATCTCCAACAGTGAACTACGACGTGACCACTGCCCGGGACATGCTGTTACTGGCTGTGACCCAAGAGGAGCAAAAGAAATGGATTGGCCACCTTGGAAAGAAGATTCCTAAGACCCCCCCATCAACGTTTTCTAGAGTCTCGCCTCGTAGCATGTCCACTCGCTCTGGACCCAACCAGTCCTTCCGCAAAAACCCTAAAAGCAATACGGCAAAGCTGAGGTAACTTTACTGTGTAACTGTTGTTTAGAGTGTTAAGTTGTTCTTGTTTATCGCACATCATGCACATAATTTTAGAGCTTCAAAGTTGCAATAACTTTAAGTCTCTCTGTAGCATTTTTCTTGGGGGGCAGTAAGTGAGGATGTGCTGTTGTCATAAAGTTGATTGTTTTCAGCCCCAACATGAAGGCTGAGATGTGGTGAAGTCAGTCACATGACCTGCTGTTTGTTTCCTGTGTTGTAGCAGAGCGCAGTCCAGCCTCCAAGCAGCAGACACAACATCAAGCACTTGTTGACAGGAACTTCTTCAGAAAGTGTTGATGTTGTATTTTAGATGTTTCCTCCTGACCTTCAATTTTTTTTAATTTATTAATTGCGCTCCTGGGTTTTTTTTTTTTTTTTAAACATGAGACTTCCTGGTTGTTGGTTGTTTTCCTTCCTCCTGGTATCTGTGCAGTTTGACACTTGGGATTTTTTTTCCTAATTGACACCAAGGTGGTTTGGGATTCATGAACTAACTAAATACTTTGCAACTCTTATTAGAATTGTCCATATGAGATTTTTTTTCTTCTGTCAAGCACGAGTCAGATTTGAGCTAGTAACAGTTTCATTATCTGTTTGACTGAATACTAACAAATGTAAAGATAAATAGTTTTTTTACTGGTGTTTCTTCTGTCTTTCAGCTAACCATCTGAACCGTTGGGACTTTTTCTGGACTCTAAAACTTTCCCTTTTTTCTCATCAACAAAAACGGAAAAAAAAGCCTGTACTATATTAAAAATGAATTGAAAACTCAAAATTGCAGAACAAAAGCCGCTGGAAAACTGCAGTTCACGTCACACGGCGCGCCATCATGGACTTTAAAAGGCCGAATCTACTAAATCTGCTTTCCCTGCCTCCTTTTCTCTAAAAGAAGCATCATCAAACTCAATGAACTAACAGTTTAACATTGCAACCAGAAGATGGCGCACTTGTGCTGAATTAAGAACGGACAACAGAAATGGAAACACTCACTCTGGCATTCTCTGCTTCACGTTTTGTGACAGATATTAATGGAAACTGGAAAGTGGGGAGTGTATGGACACCTGCAAGTGTGTTTTCATTTTAAGGTACTGTTATACAGGGATGATAGATCTGCAGTAAGTCGTTGGACCTCAGGGGTGGAAAGTAGATATATATCTGTGTAGTAATTTCTTTCCCCACCTGATGGATATTTCAGCTAAATGCAACAGTTGTTTCCAACTTAAAAAAAAAAAAAAAAATGACACGATGCCTTCATCTAACTATTGTTGGCCTTTTTGCCTTTTTTTTTTCTTCTAATCACATTGCAACTGAGTTATCAGGTTTGGAGCAGCATTTTTTCGGGTGGGACATGAGTATTAGATGTGCTGAGTATTGAGAACAGAGCATGTAAGATTATCATTTAAATCTATGCATTATTTTTATTATAATTATTTTTATTGCTCCAAGCCATAAGGAGAACTCGACTGTATTGGCATATAGGAGTCATAAAACTTAACGGATTTTGTTATCTGTTTATTTGGTACATTGTCTCTGTAATATTGTTTTCTTTTTGTAATGTATTGCCTTAAACTGGTTGATAGAGAAATGGCTCAAAAGGAAAACATTAAGTTAACAAATGTAAAACTGCACTGTTTGACTTGAGTGTAAATTATTTGTAGAAGACTAAACAGGTGTAGCATTTGGCCCACCTTGTGCCTTAACGTTTGGATATTGATTTTACTGCCATATCGTTTTTTGTTTTGTTTTTTTCATTTTTGTTGCAACATAAGACAAATCTTAACTCTTCCATTGTTGTTCTTTTTTTCCTTCTTTTTTTTTTACAAAATTGCAGCCGGTTTGGTTTTTATCAGAACATTCTTTGTCTGGTTATGAATATTAAATATATATAAAGACATTAAAATACCTCTTTATGGACACAAAGCTTCCAAACTTGGTTCATGTCATATTAGAAGTTTCACAAAGGGTTTACGAAAAACTAGTCTGTGTGAATGATTGACATAATAACAAGGGCAAGTTGTATCGCCAGTTATTGCAAATCCCCCTATAGAGTGTACATAAAGAAAGACAAAAGGATTATGGAATACCTTCACAGTCTTTCTTTTGTAAAATTTTTATTTTCTTTTCAGTAAAAAAAAAAAAGAAAAAGAAAAAAGGCACTGGAAATATGATCTCTTGTGTTGGATAATTTGCATGGGTAATTTGCATTGGACCCCGCACTGATGGATATGTCAATAAACATATCTTTATCATGTTTGTTTACTTTATTTATCCATTTATATCTGAGTATTTGAAGGGATGTTTGAAACAATCACAGCACTTGAGTCCCTGAATGAGAGGTTTTATCCCTTAGTCTTTTGCTTTACCCTTATATGTTCCTGTATGTTTTGATTTAATAATTGAAAATTGCTGTAAGCAAGTGGATGAGTAAAGCCAAATCTATTTGGCTCTATCAGAATAAATATTTGGTACACAATTTAGGTCACGGGGAAGACTGTTGACTGTTAATCTTTTTCACATGAAAGGTAATTTGGTTTTCAATTTCAGTTATTTATATGGAAATTTTTTGATTCACTTTATTGGAAAAAAATAAATAAATCCAGTCCATTTTCAGCAAATCATCAATGCTATAGATGAGCTACTGAAGGTAATCATAAAAAAAGCTTTAGAGTAGTGGCACCTCCAGAGATTCTTCATAGGGGAAACTTTTGAAAATATGTATAAGTGTGTGTACTAGTATTTATTCATTGGGATTTATATTTAGGGGACCAACAAAGGACCTTTGCTTCACAATCTTCTCAAAAGTCTGGTTATGGTTGTTGCTTGAGCATCTTAAACTTTAATCAGGGACATTTCCACAGTTTGTGGCTTGCCTTAGAAGCTGCTGGTGCCTGACAATTTTCAGTAGTGTCTGACATATTTTGATTAATTAAATTGAGGGCTTTTGTTAACGACACCATATAATGTTAATTAATTGAATTTCATAGTTGAAATCATTTTTATTTTTCGATTATGTTATTGATTGGTCACAGTATGATGTTTTTTGCAATTGGGTCTTCACCAAATACATTTTTGCTGAACACATGAATGAGCTCAGACAAGCGTCCAGCAGGATGGCTAACATGTTGTCGAGCGCATCGATAAGTTCCCAGCGTGTTGTTGCAGCGTCATCCTGTTTGAATGAAGTTCAGACTGAGAACTAGCCAACTCTTCATTCGCGCCCCAGTAGACTGACACGGGAAAAACAATATCAGATACTCCAGGAAAACAAAGACTGCCAACCATGCCGGTGTTTACAGGTATGATGTAAAACAAACGCGGCGTATTTGTTGTTATTACCATTAAAGCTACAACGAAAGCGCGAATCCTTACACGTGTTTTAGTGAAGCATCGTAAATACGTTAGCTTAGCCGTGTAGCATGATATGCAGTTAGCATGCTACCAGTTCTAGAAAGACCGTCTATATTTCCAGCAAGCTGTAACAGTTATTCCTGGAAACAATGTTGCGAAAGAAATATGCGTACACATTTGGTTAGCTATATTGTGTTTTAGGAGTTTCTATGTTCAACTTTACAATGTGTTTTGCATCGCCGGCTATGCTAACTAGCACTTTCAAGTAAACCAAACAAGCTAGTCTAGTTTGGCAACACTAAAGCTGATATGTTTTTCTGATTATCTACAACCACCAAGAAGTAAAACACTTTTAAAACGTTTTACCAACTTGAAGTTCCATTTGTTTTACATTATTGCCTTTATAGACTGGACATGTTTCTTTAAAATACCAACTGCGGTAGCATTGTCAGTAAAGTTAGCCCATTTATGGCTAACTTCAGTACAGCTGCTTGTTTACCATGAACTGTTTATTACTGGGCATAATTTCACTTTTTCTAAACCGGTAATATTATAAAAGTCAGTCAAGTGATTTATCACAACAAAATTGCTCCAGTGGGCAACAATATAATGGTTAGCTTCCCCACAAGATGCTGTGTCATACATACAGAACCCATTCTAGTTAAGCTACGATGTCCCCATTACTAACACGTAACTCACACGTCCGATGTATTTTTTTTATCCGTTTTCAGTCAATGTGAAATGGGGCAAAGAGAAGTTTGATGCAGTAGAACTCAATACCGAGGAGCCACCCATGGTGTTCAAGGCTCAACTCTTCGCCCTGACAGGAGTTCAGCCTGACAGACAGAAGGTCATGGTGAAGGGAGGCACCCTGAAGGTAATAAGAAAACACAGTGCTACAGGTTAAGCTTTAGAGACAAGGTTTCTTCTGATGGACGATTTTCAACATGTTTATTCAAAACTACATCCACTGATCCTAGATTGCTTCAAAAGGATATGAAACAGTTTTCATCATCATTGTTATTTGTTTAGTTTACAGATTTCTTTAAAAAAACATACACTGAGAATAGGATCACATCACATGTTGAGATTATCTACTGTCATAGCTTTAATAATCACAATCATGGTCAGTGTGTTTGCTTTAAAATGACAAAAACAGATGTAACAGTATTTATGAGCTTGTAACATTGGGAGCTTCCAGAAGCTTTGATCAAATATGTCTTCTGTATTTCAGTTAATTAATGTTTTCTCTCAATTCTAGGATGATGAGTGGGGAAACATTAAACTGAAAAATGTGAGTATTTATCATATCTATATAAATAGATTTATGGTTTTTTTTTGTTTTCTTTACATCTAACTGAGACTTATTGTCATAAGCAATAAAATACACAAGACAAGATAAAAACGCAGTGCATGTCAACATTGTGTCTCACTGAAACACATCTGTTATAATAGCTACACAAAGTTGTTTCCAGAAGCCTCAACAATCCTTTGTTGTTATTGTAGTCAAAATTGTAATACTGATAATAAAATACACTTAAAAAAATCAAGTTGTTCTTGTTCATGGTGGAAGCTTGAAAAAAATCCAAATTTCTTCTGAAAAACACATCTGAAGTTTTAAGTAAAAAATGGCTATTCCTTCAAATCCAATAGGATAACATGTCAGGATATCATAAAAAAAAACTAATTGGAAAAATAGATATGAGACAACAAGTTGGGGATAGGAAACATAATTTTACAGATGCAGAGGAGCTGCCTCTGCATCTGCAAAGAAGAACAGAAACTGGATTCACACCATTTATGGGCTTTGGAGGCTTTTAATTGCAATTTCTCATCACAATAGATAAAATTTTATATCACAAGAACAGTTTCACATTATTAAACACTATGATAAATGCCCACTCCCTCCCAGCATACAGCAGAGCATTCACACTCACTGAACCTGCATGTGAATCTGTGTTTTCCTAGGGAATGACTCTGCTGATGATGGGTTCTGCAGAAGCCCTGCCTGAGGAGCCGGCGGTTCGGCCCATGTTTGTAGAGGACATGACTGAGGAACAGCTGGCTTCAGCGGTCAGCGCATTTCACAAATTAATGGTTGCTTACAAATAGAAAAACTACCTAAAAACTGATGCCAGTGTTGGTGATGTTCTGTTCAGATGGAGCTTCCTTGTGGGCTGACAAACTTGGGTAACACCTGCTACATGAACGCCACAGTGCAGTGTTTACGTTCGGTGCCAGAGCTCAAAACAGCTCTCAGGAGGTACTTACTTTAGATGGAGACATTGCAGAATTAATATTTCCAAGCACTTAATGTATAGTGTTGAATAATTTAGTTTGAAGCTAATTAATTTTTTGTCAATATTTTCATTTACTTTTTATAGGTATTCAGGTGCCCTGCGATCTTCAGGAGCAAATGCTCCAGCACAATACATCACAGCAGGTTTGTAGCAATTTTAGTTGCTAAACGCACCATTTCAATTTCTCAGACTTCTGCTAGCTTTTTTAAAAAAATATGTTTTCAATTTTCTCAACTTAAGCCCTGCGTGATTTATATGAGACTATGGACAAAACCTCGTCCAGCCTTCCTCCCATAATCCTGCTGCAGTTTCTCCACATGGCCTTTCCACAGTTTGCTGAGAAGGGAGACCAAGGACAGTACTTGCAACAGGTCAGAATCTGCTGAGTTTATGTCATTGTTGCATACAGTTTCCCAAGATTGCATCTGTTTGTATTTTTTTTATTATTATTATTTTATTTTTCTAGGATGCCAATGAGTGTTGGCTCCAAATGATGAGGGTACTTCAGCAGAAGTTGGAACCACTTGAGCCGGTGACTCCCATGGAGGTAAACCTTTCTTTACTTTGGTGAAATGGAGGCTGAACAATTAATAATATTAATCTTTCTAATGATTTGATTTCTTTACATGTGCTTCAGTTGTGTTTTGTGGACTCTGCTATGCACATTAAAAGTGTGTCTGTCTGTTTGCTTTCCCTGCTTAGACTGAGTCAGCAGGAGGAGCTGCCTCTGCATCTGCAAAGAAGAACTTTATTGACCAGTATTTCGGTGTAGAATTTGAAACTTCGTATCCTTTCAGCATGTCTGAAACTACATTTTCTCCTTGTTGAGAAAACCTGATCAATTCTGGTCTCAAGAGTATATTCCTTTCTGGTTGTAGTTTTTTGATTGAAGTGAAACATAGAAATAAAGAATGTATTAGAAATTGACTTAACTCTTTAGTTCAGCATGAAATGCACAGAATCTGAGGAAGAAGAGCCGATCAAGGGCAAAGAAAGCCAGCTCCAGCTCAGCTGCTTTATCAACCAAGAAGTCAAATACCTTGCAACAGGACTACGACTGGTACGTACCATTTAATACCACTCCTTAAAATCCAATGGGCATTTTTCAGACAAAGAAGGTATGCTAGGATTTAATTAGAAAATTATTTAGACAAATTTTTTATGTTTATCATCAAAACTCAGATTCTCTGAAGGTCACAATCATTCATTAATAAAACTGAAATGTTCACTGTTTGAAAGGTACGTGTCGGTTTTTGGGTTGCAACAAGTAATTGTCACAATAATTGTCAACTACTTTAATAATTGATTTAGTTGTTCAATTGAGTGCAATATCAAAACAGAACAAAGCAGTAATTACTGCGCAAAAAAATTCTACATTTTGCAAATCAAAACTCCAGTAGCATAGCTTGAGTGTCACCAGGTTCAAATGTAAAAAAAAAAAAAATATCTCACATTAAGCACCTTTTTGCCATCCAAATACTAACTGGTTAATCTAAAAAAAAAGTGTACAGATTAGCCGCATGCTGTGTTTCTGTTAAGGCTGAACTTTTCACATGTTGATGTTTGAAGAATTTTTTTTTTTTTCTGCAGACGCATCCTTTGCTACAAATAATCAAGTACACACTAAAGAAATTTTACACAATAGCATGTTCATTTTCTTATTAAAAAAATAATTGCTTTGTTTGCATATTTTAATGTATGTCTAACATTACATATGTACCATTTTCATCAGTTAATAGTCATAAAAATTAATAGACTATTGGATTACTAAAATAACTGTTGGCAGCTCCTGTCCTTCTACTGTAAAAAGTATGCACTCAACACTTAGATTATTGCATTAATTGCTGCGCAGCATGAAGTTGATCAGGGTGTGGATCTGCAGAGGATGTAATCATAGTGATGAAGAGCTGATCCTGTTTCTTTCTCCACTCCCAGAGACTGCAGGAAGAAATCACAAAAATGTCTCCAACCTTGGACAGAAATGCTTTGTATATCAAATCTGTAAGTATGATCTCCCTCTGCCCTTTTTGAAGTTATCCAGCTGGAATGGGGCATTTCTCTTACAGCTGCTTTTCATTTGTCCTCTCTAGTCAAAACTTAGCCGTCTCCCTGCCTACTTAACTGTTCAAATGGTCCGATTTTTCTACAAGGAGAAGGAGTCTGTGAATGCAAAAGTTCTAAAGGTTTGTTCTCAATGTCGTTCTTCATTTGCATCAGCTCTTGCAGTAACGGCTTAGTTAAACCTAATTATCTGTAAATCTTGTTTTTAATTGCGAAGGATGTCAAGTTCCCCCTCATGTTGGACGTATACGAGCTCCTCACCCCGGAACTCCAGGAAAAAATGTTGCCAATTAGGTCAAAGTTTAAAGAAATGGAGGACAAGAAGCTGGAGAAACAACAGCAGAAGGTGGCAAACGTTTATGTGGATGCTTTTGTTTTATTGATAAAGAAATAAACTTATTTTCATCATAAATACTAACTTATATTGCTATATTGCTGATTTCCATAAGGTGTTGAAGAAGCCAGATGCATCAAAGGAAGTAAAATATGAGCCTTTCTCTTTCCCAGATGGTATGTTGAAACGATCTCATATCATCACATATACAACTATAAATTTGACTTTTAATATGTTTTTTGTTGTTGTTGTTTGTTTTTTTTGTTTCTTTGTTTTTTTGCAGAGCCCATGTAAATAACATGAATTGAATTTAAGGAATTGTGCTTATTTTCTTTTACCTTTCTGTAGACCTTGGTTCCAACAACAGCGGCTACTACGACCTGCAGGCTGTACTGACTCATCAAGGTCGCTCCAGCTCATCAGGCCACTATGTGGGATGGGTCAAGAGGAAAGAAGGTAACCACATCTGTTGGTGATAGCCAGAGCCACCCAGCTGGAGTACAACTTTCATTACATTGCGTGTTTGTGCCGTCTTCTGATGCCTTGGTTAGTCATCATTAAAACCAAATAAGAATCACCTCCTGTGACTGTAAACGCTCATTGAAGGTGTTCAAAACCTCAGTAATTTTTTGATTTGGCTCTTTTATAGTTTTCTTTACATTAACATATATATACAAGGTCTACTTTTCAATATGATTTAATACAAAATATTATGTACTGTACATGACAGCAAAGTGGCATCACACAATGTAACTGCTGCAGTAAAGTAGGATTTATTTTCTTTTTGACTGAATGCAGGGATTTGTCTGGATCTTGGAAAAAATTTTTGTCATCATTTTGATAATCATGACAAAAATATTGTTCTAAAAGTTTAGATCCATACCCATTCCTACTAATTATGCTAATCACTATTGTTGTAGCCACACATAAAACGCACAAGGATGGATGAGCACAGACCTTCCACTTAAATTGTTGGAAAATAGTCACATTGTTTCGTAAAAATCTGACTTTAGAACCTCAAATGTTTTTTTTTTCTTCTTTTGACTTTGCAATCCTAGTTTTAATGTTACCGAATTTTGAATTCAATTATGGCAAACAAAACTTCCAATTTTTCAACATCAGAGAATATTAAAATTTTTTCTTGTAAATATGTGAAAATGAATTTATATTTTGTCCATGACCAATATATATTTTTTTCTTTTATTCACAATGCCCTTATCACCGTCGTATCATTAGCAGGTTTAGACTTGAAGATTCACAATTGGCCATGTGTTGGCCTTGGACAATTCGCTTAAGAATCAATTTTTCCTTTTTGTGTGCGTCTTTTGACAGATGAGTGGATCAAGTTTGACGACGACAAGGTGAGCGTGGTCTCACCGGAAGACATCCTGCGGCTGTCTGGAGGCGGAGACTGGCATATAGCTTACGTTCTACTGTACGGGCCACGTCGGCTGGAAATACTTGAAGAGGAGCAGTAGCTGGAGGGAGGTTTCTTACACCCACATATACAGATTGCCATTTCCGCGCACTGTCTGCATAGATGTGCAATAAAACTGGTGTCTTTAAAGATTTGATTTTTTTTTGTTGTTTTGTTTTGTAACCAACACTTATGCTTGTAAAACAAATTTTGTTAAATATTCATCCATAGTGTGCTTTGAATATGGAGATCTGATGAAAGGCAATCTCTGGACTGGATCCTTTAGATTTTAAAGTTTGGCTCTACAGTTTCATTAAATGTTTTATACACAATGTATATTTTTAAAGCCTTTCAGAAGGTGATCATAAGAGCAAAAATATTTCCTATTCATTTAGCCACCAAGCTGTTGTCCTTGACATTCTGGATCGAGTTGTCAGATGCATAACAGAACTCTTGTTCACCTCTTGGGCCTTTGGGTTCAGTCTCAGGTCTTAAATGCTTGGCTCGCATAATCTCCTGCGATTGTTCTCAAAATGTATTGACAGATGAGGCTCTGTCTGCCAAATATTCATTAATGCTGTTTTCAGGGAAGTGGTTTGGAACAGGTTGGCCTCATGGTGAACCATGTGGAGGCGTTTGAACCATGGTTTTTCTCAGCTGGCTTTGGTGACACTGACTTAAGACAATGTATGTAAAATCCAAAAACATCCACTCTCTGTAATAAGTTATTAATTGATTGCTGGTGAAAATAAACCATTGAACCAAAACGCGACCTTGTTTTGTGACCAAGAGAAGCAAACATCTTGGAAAAATGTTTTTATTCGATTTCTACAGTGGAAAAAAAAAAAAGGTTCAGACCTTTGGTACATACAAAAAGCACTGCTACAATGTAATGTAGGTGCAGCTTAAGCAACGTTTCAAGCCTCACTGAGGCGTTCTGCAAGCTGGGAGAATCCTGCCGAGCTGAGAGCCGTTGCCAGGTTCTCCACTGTTGCTTGGGATCCTTCTCGCTCCTGCCAGGCCACCAGCAGCAGCTTGGCCTGAACATCCACATCTTCACTGTCCGTCTCGATTTCCCGCATCTCTGCTGCCTTCATCTCCAGATGAGAGGCTAGTGTCTTCCACTGGGACCCCAGTTTGGCTGCAATGTCATCCATCTGATGGTTTGTTACAGTTTTACTCTGGATGCTCGGACCTCAAAGAGAAAGAGGAAAAACATGAAACACTGGTGCAAAAGAAACATCCACATATACATTAAGGCCAAAAGGAAAGTTCAGAGTGTTAACTGAAGTTTTGTTTTTGCACTGTGGGAGGAAATGTTTTTTTTTTAATTATACTGAAGTGATTACCAGATTTTAATGAAAGCAAATCTTCAATAAGTCATCAAGATCTAACATGAATAGAGGAGTCAGTGGCACTTTAACAAAATTAAGACTCTTGCACAATTGTTTCAGATTGTGAAAACTTCATAAGATGCTAAACATTCCTCCATTTATTTTTTGTGAATGAATTTTGACAAACTTCATCTTCATTTCAACTTTATTCTCAACTCCATTTATTTTTTGTGAATGAATTTTGACAAAACCATTGCTTCATTGTCCTAATATTCAACTTTATTCTGGTAATAAAATGTTTTTCTTCTCAAGATATTACAACTTTATGCCCAAAATGAAAAACCCTTTTTCTTAGGTTGGTATTAGTACTCCGTCAAAGAATTTGTCTTTTTATGCTGAATTGCTGAAAAACATCACATTTGATATTCTGACTTGAGAAATCTAGAAAAGAATAATCGATTTAACTGAAGATATTGAAAATATAATTTAGAACTGTTGGCCAAACTCACTGTCATTGCTGTCTTTAAGAAGATTGTCTCCATTATCGTCATCATCCTCCTCTCCTGTCTTGATTTCTTCTGAAGGGATATCCTTCTGCATTTTTAGAAGAAAAAACAAAACACCGGTCTTATTTCTTTCCTTTTAAAACTATAATTAATTGAGGTTTTAAAAATGTAAAATCCCTCACCGGCAGCTCTTTGGCCAGTTTGCTGACCATGCTATCTAGGTAGTCCGCCAAGCTTTTGAACTTCTGGTTCGTTGGCTGAAAGAAGTGTGGACTCCTCCTGGACAGGAGCCTCAAAGCTCGCCAACCGTAGTTCGGGTTACGCACAACCCTGAAAGAATTTGAGTAAGAGAAAAACCAAGGAATTTAGCAGCTGGATGTATAATAACTGACTTGTGTTCCCAGTGAAATGCGTCACAGTGCCAACTTACTTGTATTCCTCCTCCACCATGTTGACTGGATCGGCCTGCTCAATGGCCTCCGCAAAGAATTCATCCAGTGATGGCATAAACTCTCTGAAATACAAATGTTGAATGTAGTCACCCACAGTATTCATATACTCAGAACATCTTCATGTGACAAACAAGAACTGCAAAGTATTTTGTGTTGGAATTAGATGTGGTAGTAAAGCATCTTCTTCCTCAGGTCTGCCGTTTCCCTACACAGCCCAAATTAGATTTTCTGTTTCTTTCACAAATAACTTGCAATATTTAGTCTTGCTATACTGACATTTATGGTTGTAGGTTCATGGATATAAAACGTTTTGCAAGGAACTAAAGACATATCAGATGAAAAAACTTAAAGTAAATATTTTTGCTTAGTTCTCTGAATTCCGTACCTGCTTTCAGACTTGCAGGCCTCCATGTTGTCCTGGTTCAAGTTCCACAGTCGAGTCAACTCATCACTAACAGCGGAATAAAAGAAAGTTTAACATCCTGCCGTAGATTACTAAATAATAAGCTTTTCAGCTCTACAAACACAACTTGAAATTGTTTAGAAATGCATCTGAAGTCTAATGCTTTAATATTGACGAATTAATTACAGAACAAGAATTTATAAATATATATATACGTATATATACACACAAAATCAATGACATAATCACACTTAGTGATGTAAACAAATATCTCAGTTAATTCAAATTGGTTCAGAAATACTTTTTTAGTCCCAGAAGGAAATTTAAATGTTAAATTATAGGTATTTGATTGCACTTGAATGGACCGCATAATGATATGCTAGTGCAGCAGAAATACCATGGAGCTGTGACCTCACAGAGTTCTGATCAACTGCTTTTAGAAAGTTGAATGAATATAAACAATTATGAAGATATGAATAAAATTATTACCAACACTCAACTGTAACAGGTCACTACCAATAATGTTTTTTAAATCTAAGACTGAGTGTATGAATACAGAAAAAATAAATAAATCAAGAACTTCGTGACGTACTTTCCCATGAAAATCTTGCGCTCTGGCCCTTTTCCAAGGAAGTCCTCTGGAGCTTGTCTTTTCCTGGTGGGCCTTTTAGGTTTGTCATCAGATGTTCTGTTTAAGACGAAAACAGCCAGGACACTTTTCATTTTGACATTCTAGCAAAAGTTCACACACCCAACTCCTTTGTTGCCACAGACCAATCATTGCACGGAAACAAAATCAAGCCAATATGGGCCGAGGCCGCTTAACGACATTTCTCTCTACCTTTCTTTCACAAAGCTCGGACAGCCCTCGTTCTTCCAGGAATTCCAGTTTTCCTCCGTGTTGAGAATGTGCTGCCAAAAAAGACATTTTAAAAATTCTAGTCTGACTTAAAGTACAAAATGAAACACCAAGGGTTATTTAAATATTTCTGTATTCCTAAAGTGTGGCTTACCTCGACCATGGTGGCAAATTTTTCTCCTTCAGGAGGCGTTTCGCTCAGCAGCTGGAAGAGCAGAACACACGTTAACCAGTCTCTTCTTGCTATGGCTACAGTAGCACTAACTTTAAAAAAAACAACTTCAGTTTAAAACGTGTTTCTGTTTAAAAGTTTACAGCGATGGTCGAAGAGGCACAAAACTTGATAGTGGTCACTAGTGCGAACATTTTCCATAAGAAAAGATGTTTTCAAATATTTCACATTTTTCAAAATCAGAGTTTTTGACACATTTCTGATACATTTGAGACCTATGCCAAATTATGAAAAGATAAACTTAATCAGGTCTTGTTTAGGTGTAAGCAAGTTAGATATACCTTTTCTAACTTAGTTTTTTATTTATTTTTTACTTATTCTGGAATTGCGATGTTTGCCTATTCTGTGGCAGCTGAAGAAGGAACAGCTTATCCTGCTCTCTCTTGTCCTTACAGATAACTGTGAGTTATTTTTATAGTTATATTTACATTATCGACATCATAACTGGATAACTTCAAGCCTAAGGATTGGGGGATTTTTTGACTTTTATTTTTACCTGACTATTCTTCACCTCCAAGTTCACCTCCAAGTTCAACCAGGGCAAAATGCCTCCGGTTGACCCCATTGACATTAGCAGTATTATACAACGACTTTAGTCAAGAAATGAAGATTAACGTCTGGAGCTGAACTTTGAGATCAACTACCTGTGGAAATTAAAGAAATCTTCCTCTTATCAACGGAGCACCAAGCAGCTCACCCTGGAACGCTCAGGGTGACAAACCGAAACAAAAGTCTCACACTGCGGATCCCATGAGACGACTGACAGGGAGAACCCGTCACCTGGACGAATCAGCGTGGCGGGCTCTGAGCCGAAACCCACCTTCAACTTAAACACCTGCTCCGCCAAAGAAAAATAAACAACCAGTTGGAACCAAAACGGCTCACCTTCAAACGTCAACAATGAGGCAAGACCAACACATCCACTCCCCAAAGCTCAAAAGGACAAAGCGACCACCAGGAACACAAAAGGTATCCCAAAAGTGTTTATTGTTGGAGATGAGGCAGTAAATGGAATCAGTCATGTTTGCAATCCCAAGAAAACGAGTGATTTCTTTTCCTGGTGACACTGTATCTGATTTAACTCAAAGTACACTCTCTCACCACTTATCAGCTAAATATTGAGACTTAAGTTGTGAATGTTGGAGCCAATGATTTGGCAAAACAAAAATCTGAGATTCTGAAAAAGGACTTCAATATTCTTCTGAACACTATGGGAAAATTAAAAATGAAATTATTTCTCAGTGGTCCAATTTCATTACCTCAATGGGGAGATGAAAAACACTCCAGGCTGGACATGATAAACGAATGGCTGATTAAAACCTGCTCCTGCCAGCTCAGTGACCTTCATTGATGACCTCTGGCTCTA